TCCGGCTAATAAAAGCAAAATGCCAAAAGAATAAGCTTTTCAATTTGTGTGGTTTGAAAGATTGTTTGTCACATTTAGTAATTTTGGTATGATGACTCATTGACTCTGTGGCAAAATGCACTAGGTACAATGCATGTACAGTATCCTCAATTGATATTGTGTAGTGAATTTGAGCAACTCTGGTCTGGAGCTGGGGAGGTGTTATGTTTATAAGCTCAATAAATAAATCATTTTAAAATTGTAAAGATGTACTTTACGGGTTAAAATTAATTTAGACTGTCAGGTTCTACAGTTTGTCACCAGCAGTGAAACTGTAACCCTCCTTTACACAAAGATAACCCATGATGACAACAGATCATTAGCGCCAGTGAGCTGACCTATGTGAGTGTGTGTGTGTGTGTGTGTATGTGTGTGTGTACCAGGTGTACGCAGCTGTCCGTCTGATCAAGGAACTTCAAAGGCCGTCAGAGCAGCAGTAAGTGGTAACAGTCAGATGCTGTGCTCGCTAAAGGTGATTTCTAAAGTGTCTGATATGAACCGATTTAGCCTGCAGTCAATTCAAGAGCAATACATCAGAGTACACTGTACACTGTACTGGTGAGGCCCCTCCAATAGGACTTACAGATGAAATGCCTCATTGCACATCTGCAGACAAGGCAGATATTGTGGTTTCCTGTTGGAAGATGCTTTAAACTGGACGAATCAGAAAAATCTGTATTTCTGAAAGCAGCTTTCAATTGAAAAATCACTTTCATCACAGATGTTTGTAATGAAAGTCAACAAAACAATGAAAGTGTAAAACAAAAAACATTTTTCTTTGGGACAAAAGGCATATTTACCCCTGTTCTGATAACAGACGACTAAACAAGGCAGAATATGAACTTCCTTCCTTCCTTCTACACAGTAAACAAGTGTTAAACCGCACGCTTTGGCAACAGAAAAGTGGTGATATTAAGATATCACTCAACAAGGCTTGGCTGCAGATTGTTTCTTTGCTTGAGCTACGCTGTACAAACAATCATTTGCTGCTACTCTGTGAACGCACACAAAATGGCCCTGATGACAACAGCACCATGTCCTGGAAGCTTTCTCCACTAGGAACAGCACCCCCCCCGCCCCGCCCTCTCCATCACTTGTTTGCTATATTGACCCAGGTAATGGTGATAATGGATGTTATTCTCATCAAAAGGAAGATCAAACAGTAAAAGGAAACCCTGTGCTGCTACAATTTATGCTCCCAAGTGCAATGCCTCAACCCATTATATGGTTCAGCAGGGAGACGCTATGAAAATGCTGTTTTATTTTAAAAAAAAGAAAACAACGCCTGAAAACAAATAAAGCTTTTCATGGTCATTATACTTGAAAGTGAACAAAACGATGCAGAGGTATAGAATACTGCTGGGAAGACACCTTTTTTTCAGGCCAACTCCAAATTTAGCACCTCACTGGTTCCCTGTAGAGAAAGCTAATGGGATTTATTCATTGGATTTTGGATTATTGTGTCAAACTAAAGTTGCTGCTTTGTTACCAACAACCACATCGCTGCCAAGATCTATTACAAGGTTACGTCATTACCACAGTAATAATCTCACGGTGACATTTTAAAGCCAGCCTATGAACAGCTGTGGCCACAAGTAGTGATTACTTGATAATGGCACACTAAATCTCACCTGATGTCATCATTGACCAAACCAACAGAGCAGGTCCAATCGGACCATAAGCAGGGGACAACGATGTCTTTCAGTGTTGTGTAAAAACTCCTAGACGTCTATGTGACTGAGTGAGACACAGTAATGTCTCCTATTAGCCACCGGCTGTACCCGACTAAATAACAATGGAAGATGCGAACGATTGTTTATGAATTCTAATTTTGAGATTGTACAAGATCAATGCTTTTTCTTCATTCAAACATTAGGCTCATTTTACATGCTCAGTCTTGTATTGACTTGTATTACTGTAACCATTTAATGCTAAAACAGGTTAGGTTAGGTTAGGTTTGACAGGGTTTTGATAATCCACTCTCCTGGAAAAAAAAAAAAAACATGCTTCTTGCAAGATTCCTTTAAGTAAAAAACAGACAAAGATACTAACACTCTCTAGCCTTTGTACTGTTTCCTTTCCAGGTTTCCCTGGGGATCTGGATTATGTTTCACTAATCCTAACAACTGCAAATTCACCAAAACAATTTTAGACATCTCCAGATTGATGTTGCGCCGTCACGGCCCAGATCAAAAACAGCGATGGACTGCTCCTTTCCCGTGCGGCGTCCTGGGAAGTCTGTTGCATGGGAACCCATAAACGGAGTGCTTCAACCGCTCGAGGCTTTAGTTCAGGACAAAGATTAGACACCACATGCCTGTGACGAACTTTCTCCACACACAATGACCTGGCTTGGGGGCCAAAGTGATGAGGTTATGATTTGATCAGTTGGTTACTAAGACGCATTGAAGAATATGTAATATTTATGTCACAAATTCATGAACGTATCTTGCAACAGTCTGCTTGCAAATGAATAAGTGTATTTTTTAATTACTTTTCATTTAAAGAAATTTAGGCATAGACATTAGCAAACGAAATATGTGTTCATAATTCAAAGAAGGACCTCCAAACTCCATTGTCTGCTCATTTATGCACGGAAATGAACAGTCCTCTGTGGATATGGGCCGGAAGAGAGGTCTGAAATTCAGGGACGTCCATTTCAAACCCGCTCTGCTCTGCTGATCCTCTGCCAGATTACTGGGCCTCGATTTTCTGCGCTGCGGTCGAAACACAACAAGGGCATTTATTGTCCGTGACCAGATCACTTCTTCTTTTGAGCACATGAAAAACGAAGCCCAAGTGCCTCAGCCGCAGCACAAATTGATGACCTTTAAATGGAGCGAGGTCTAATGTGGCCGCTCTTTGGCCCGGCTTGATTAGCTGATGTCACAGGAAGTGAATAGTATCCGTATTGAGCGTATTGATGTCATCGGGGGCTGGAGACGGAGATCTGGCACAGATATAATCTCACTCTTTTTTTTGCAGCATGTGCACATACATGCGTGTTCAAACACTCTGTCTCAGTCTCTTAGCAAGATCCAGCAGGCCTGAGTGGTTGCCAGCCAACATCATCAAATCTTTGAGCTGATAACCACTAAAGATTTAGAGAAAAACTAACCACAAAGTCACTACAACAGCAGTAGTTTGAGCTGAAACAACTGGTTAATTAATCGATTAACAAAAAGTTAATCTGCAGCAATTTTCATCATCGTTCACAGGTGCTATACGTGAGATTCGGAGCATCTCTATTGGCAACGGCACTGTAAGATGTAAATGTTTCCATCTGGTCAAACTAAGTGGTAAAAAATATAATACAATGAATGTCAGGGTAGATATATGGATTGGAGGTGAAGGGCAGCAGCACAAGGCCTGAAGAAAACCAGAGGATAAGAACAGGAAGCGGACTTGATGAGAGCAGATAGAGTTGGAAGAGATCCTGGACAATGGTCAGGCTGAACTTAAACAGGAGATCAGCACAATACAGGGACGAGGCGGGGGGGAAAGGTTCATGTGGTCGAGCACAAACAAGAAGGTTAAGGTGAAGACGTGGGGAACGTGGGAGGTCAAGAGAGGAGGGAAGTCTGGCTCAGTGCCTGCAGGAAGAGGAAGGGTTGGAGGGAGGAAAGCACACATTGACCTGTCTTGTTGAAACAAACAAGTAAATGCACACCAACACCAACGTAAAAGGAAACTGCAATGTGGATAGCTGAGGTGGCATCCCGCCCTCACCCACATACCACCACATATAAATCTTCAGTCACATGCTCTCTTCTAAAAATAAACATTAATCTGCACATCAGAAGATGCCGTCCAACTTTTTTATTATAGTCTCACGCAGCTGATTTAAAGAAGTAGCAGAAGTAAAAAAGATGATAAACTGCACAGGTTCACTTTCTTTTTTGCTTTTGGCTTCACACTCTAAACCTGTGTAGTGAGAGCTGGATCTCACTCTGGGAATGTGTTTAGCTGTGTGTGATAGAAACATAGTTTGCTGCCTGGGCAGCACTGAGCCACTTGATCACTGCTGGGAACAGACGAGAGCTGACAGAAAGCAGACGGAGAGCTCTCTGCACTATACAACCGGACCGCTGTGGAGTTCGCTGGCTAAAAATACATGCAGCCAACTAGCCATAACCAGCTTCATATGCCATGGAAATGAGCAAAGTATCACTATGTAAATTTAAATTGGAATGTTTTACATAATAATTAGATATCAAACAGTCCTGACATAATTATTCACAACATGTACAACAAAGCGGTACAAGTCTTTCAATAACTTCCACTGTTATGAGTTTACATTTCTCCATTTGTATCTATTACATAACCTGCACACACCCACACTACAGAAGAAATGCATTCTAATTACGAAAGAAGGTGTTAAACTACATAATACTGTATAAGAACGCATTTTCAGTTAGTGTTACTAAGCCATAGCCTTCTATCATGTTGATTAATACAAGTGTATTCCCTCTGAAATCTACTTGCTGTAAGAACTTTTAAAGGATAGGAGGTGAGAAAAATGATTTGTAGCACATATACATACGCACCCAGGTTACAACACCATAGCGGTTGGAAGGTTTACTACCTTGCTTGGGGGGGGGTAGATTTTTACTGAAAAGTGAAATAAGCAAGAGGGGACTGCGCAGTATCACATCTATTCAGTGTACACAGGGACAGGGTGGGATGAGCACGCTGCAGGGAGGGAAAGTCAACCTTGGACCTCTTTAGCTGCCAAAAAGCTGGTTCGCGCAAGATAAGAACCATCACACTCATCGCAGTTCTATAATCTCTACTTTCATGCCAAACTTCTGCCAAGTTATTTTCTCTCTCGGGTTGTTTTACACACGTCTATCTGTGTTGTATCTGTTTGAAACGACAACGACAACAACAACAACAACAACAGTGCAAACCCTCGTGTTGCACGGATCGAGCAGCCAATCAAACATTTCTCGGGCACTCACCTCCCCAGGTGTGAAGGAGGGCCAGGAGTCCGACGAGCAGAAAGGCGGTGTTCCGTGCAGCCATGGTTGTTGGTCGACACTGCAGCGGTCCGTGTTGGGGTGTGTGTGTGTGTGTGTGTGGGTGTGTGTGTGTGTATAGAGGCAGTCTGACAGGGGACCGGTGCTCCTGGAGAACAGTATGAAAGAAGCGGGGAAGCAGATGATGCACGAGGGATACAGACAGGAGGTCCTGCCGCTGTAAAAAATGTCCGTCTGTACGACTCACTCACGCGCACTGTAGGTCTCAAATGACGTTTTCTTCCCGACACATTATTTGCTTTAAACAACTCGGTGTCTGTTCTTTTCTGGCGTATTTATTCGGATAAATAGACTAACAAGAGTTCAGAGCCCGAGTTCAAATGAATGACAGAGGCTGATATTTTTTGCAGTGTGCAAAAAAAGGAGGAACTTGAGTGGGAGCAGCAGGAGGGCGGAGGTCTGGACCAAAATACAGTATGAAGATTTACAGCTTCTCTAACAAGATTCCAACTTAATACATTTCCCCACATGGAGTTTTATAACTTGTGTTTTGTCAACACAAACCATGACTGTTGAAAACTTTTTTTTTTTTGAAAATGGTGTCACTCCTCTTTTGCATAATGGGGCTCCAACTTTCAGCATGCAGGGCATATGGTAGCCTATAGGCCTTCAACAAGTGTGTGTGCTTGGTGACCTCTTTCTAATGATTTAATGACTATATCAGGACTGCTGGTTGCAATGGGGCATTGGGCAAGATCAACATGAGACAGGATATGAGCTTCTGTGGAGCTGAGTCTCGAGGATGAGGAGTAAACTTAACTCTTTAGCCAGCAACTCATTACCGGTCAGAAAGGTGAAATACTTTACACTTTGTGACTGAGCAGGGCACCTAAAATCTCAATACACAAACATGTTCTGATACACATATTACATGCATCTATCTGCATGGTCCAAATAGTGAATACATATTTGGATGATGGATATTTTTCTTTTACTCGGTAGCATGTCAAGGTAGAGCTCCGGAAGTTATTTTAGTTATAAACAGTCCGGACAACGATCTCAATCAGCGCCTTATGTGAGCAATTGGGTTCTACAAGAACGCACTATTTTCTAGCAAATGTTTGGTTATTTTTACAGGAGAGATTTGTGTATTTTGTTGTATTTCTTTCTCCTTGCTTTACTCACTAGTGTGAAGTGTTGGGCTGAGCTGGATAAGGGTGATGTCATACATATTTCCGTGCACCCATCAGAGTTTAGGTACATCTCAATCTAAATGTGATGAAAGCTGTGGAGTTGCTATTGCGTTTTTTAATCAATAATACCATATGTTTTTATATGTTTTTAAATTTCTAACTGTGATCATTGATTATTTAGTCATAAATCTAATGGTGAACTGGAGATCTGACACAAAGTTGTTTGAGAGTTTAACACAAGAAGAACAAATCAGCTCACTCACTACAACACTTGCAACATACCAGTACACACTACTCTCACTGAACTTTGATCTCCATCAATAACTGTTTCAAAGATAATATTTATCAACATCAAGCCCCTTATAAAACCTGTGAATATAACTCCCTATTGGTGCTAGATGCCAAGCTCAATATGGACATAATAAGGGAGTTGAATCCGACTGACTCCCCAAACACACCATGTAAAAACATGATGCCTGCCAGAGGACATCATATCATTGACATGATGTTGCAACCCTGAGCGTAATTTTGACTATCGGGGTTTGGATAACTGTAGTGTTTGCCAAACTGTAAGAAAGAAATGAAAACAAATTATCCAGAGTGCCAGAGGGCTGCCGGAAAATGTCACAAGACACTGTGCTGTTGACACTCTGGTCAGAGACCAAAATTGTTTTGGCTTGCTTGGTGTAAGTCAACATCATATTTTTCAAAGTCTGCCGTCTAAGCCTGCCAGATAGTGGAGAGTAGCTCAGTGTAGTGTACATATACAAAGTAACCTCTCAGTAAATAAATTACAGTAGATTTTAGATGAGTAAAACAACCAAATGGGTTAATGATAGCTAAAGCGCAATTTATAAAATGTTGAAGCTGATGCAATATCAATATTTGAGAGTATACAAAGTTTCATTTTGACCAATATTTTTTTTTTATTTTCATGAGCACAGTGTTCAAACAAAAAATAAAGATCCCCTAAATTTGGTTATTTAAGAATTATAACAAAAATATGTGATGAGGGACATTTTACAGTTGGAATGTTATAATACTGTTTCTAAATGACCTCACGCATATCTTTGACATTTCTGTCCTGCAACTTCTTGTTATGTATCGGCCGACATATAGACATAATGTATCTGTGATAAGCCCAATTTGTCTGAAAAACCTGCTTTGATGTTATATTTTAAAATCATAAGGCTTTACTAAACATTCAGACAATTTAAACAGACACAAAAACCAAAGGCACTGCAAACGAAACAAAAAAATGTGTCTTTAATTAGTCTTTGATGATTTGGAAATGTTAATGAATTGTGCAGATCAAACACATACTGTATTTTGAGGGTAGGCTAGTTTGTATTAAATATACTCTTCAGCTTAATCCTGGTATTTGGCACAGCCCATTATTGCCTGAGCAGAAGACCTGAGGGGCCAATGTGTGATACAAACAATGCAACACTTCCCCAAACTTTGCACAGACGGTGATAAAACCTCAAACTGTCGGTACAGTTTACAAAAATTCGTTTAATCTCAGTATTATTTGATCCTGCGTGAACTATCACAGCCTGTGCAGCTGGAGACAGATCAAAGAAGGGGGGGGGGGGGCGTGTCATGTACACTGATCTCTGTAACCTTCACTGTTGGAAAACACCACCGTCTGCCATCTGATCTGACTGCTGCTGCCAAGTGGATTGCCTGGGAGTGTAGGTCAGAGCCGCATGGAGCAGGCAATGATACCAAACTCACTGCTGAGAAAGAGTCCACAGTGGAGACGAGGTCTGCTTCTTATAACAGTGCACAAACAGCTGGACAGCGAAAGTCCTCAGAGGAAGAAACCGTTTTCCAGGGGGATGGAGCAGTTGTGGTTGGTTTTGTCTGAGCTTTTTCCACATGGTTGTGGTTTTAAATGCCTGGAAAAGACTCATTTATAGGCTTCTTTTAATTCTGGTTGGATCAGGACATTTGAGCAAGGCCATTATCATGTTTCAAGAATATTACCTGTGTTTGTCATAAAATTGGGACTGCAGTGTTCTCAGCCATTTCACTGCTATTTCAAGCGGTGTTTTTAGAAATGCTTTTTATTTTTTTTTATTTGATGGCGCCCAAATAATGAGGCCATGAGATCACTTTGGGCAACCTTTTTCACGTGCTTTTCTCTGCCAAACGCTTGTGCTGTGAATGTGAAAGCCCTCTGTGTGAGATAGAGAAGTCTGTGGTGTTTTTAGGCAAGATTTTTGTCAAGGCGATAGAAAACACACGTCCCCTTTCTAAAATAACTCACAGTCTGATCCGCAGCCTGGCAGAGGCCTTGGAGGACCTGGCTAGAGGTCTCTGGTTTGTTCAATTTTCTTACAATCATAAAAAGGTGTAATCTTAACACACAAGCTTGTTTTCTTTCAATCACAACGTACTAGCGGGTTATAGGAAAGAATTGGTTTGTATACCATGTTGTCTTTTTACCTGATCTAAACAGCCACACTGGAGGAGTGAGAGGCTGGCTGTCATAGAGAGGGGAGGGGAGATGCAGATTTTTTTTAACACAGCAAAGCTTGTTGTTTGCATTCAACAATTCAATTTTACTTATTTATTGAAGACACGAGACATCTAACTCTCTGCAAGGAAGCAAATAAGCATATTTCCCTAAATGTAAACTTATTTCTTCTACGGCCAACTGTTTTCTTATAATGGTTTCCCTTCAGTTCTTTATTTTTGGGAAATAAAACAGAAAGAGAGGCAGAAAGACAGTGTGTCTGCTTTCACGGGTGCTTTTAGTCGGAACATCCTCTGTTCATCAGATATCCCTATAGTGTTCTGTTTTTCCTTCCATCCTAAAGCTATTAGAGGGGATATTGGTGGAGATACGAACACTGTCGCTCTGTTTTGATGGAAATATGAGGCCAATCCTGAGGACACACCGTTTCTCTCTCGTTCTACTGTGAAGTTGTATTAATTGGGTCTAGTGTTGCCGGAAAATCAACACAACATCCTCTCTGTATTGCTGCCACAAAGAGGGAACTATTGTAATTGTTTGATCCCTAACATGCTTTACATGTAAACATGAGAGAAATGTCATGTTATTCAATGAAGTTCCTGCAAAATATGCATTGTAAGTTGTACAGTATGTCAAAAAAAAGGCCAGTCACTGCATGCTTTTTAAAAAAAAGAGATTATATATGAATGGAAATAGGGTGTAAAAAGGGTGTAAACCATCGTGTTGATGCTTTCATTTCCTTTGTGGTGAAGCACAATCCTTATGGTATGTAGCGATAGCAGAGTACTGGCTGTTCTCAAAACAACTACATTGTTCAGCAATTCTGCGTCAGTGAATTATGACCAAATCTTCAAGGCTGCTATGTGACTTGGGCGCGGCACAAAATGTAAGAGCCTATAAGTTAAAATATAAAATGTGTCTAAATCATTCTCTTAAAATTCCTAGTAGACACTTTGCAAGAATGCCCCCCTTTCACCCTTTATTTAATATGATACATCCTGGACAGGGCGTTTGGGAATATCAGGGGGCAATGGTTTAGGGAATGAGACTGAAAAAGGAAAATAGAAGCAGGAAAAGCAACAATCCCTCCCCCACAGAGTTCCCAGGGACCCGCAAAGCCCTGAAACATGTTATCAGAGCATGTTTCAAGATCTAACACAATCTCTAACCTGTTTTTCTCTTCATGGTTAAATTAGATTATCAGTTGCACATGTGAGTAATTTATAAACATCTCCTTTATCTGTGAGGGGTATTCAAACCCGATTGCACGTGGCTCCCTTAAAGGAATAGTTTAACATTTTGGGAAATAAGCTTATTTGCTTTCTTGGCGAGAATTAGATGAGAATATGGATACCACTCTCGAGAAGCTCCAGCCAGCAGCTGGTTAGCTTAGCTGAGAGGCAAGCAGCTAGTCTGACATTATTGAAAGGACACAATATCCACCTACCAGCTCCTCTAAAGCCCACGTATTAACTTATTATATGTCTTCATCTGATCCAATTCACTGTTTTATAGGAAGTTATTTTTGGGACTTCCTGCGTTACTAACAGTAACAGTAGTGAGCAGGTAATTTCATCATCATCCTGCCAGTGATGACAGGTGTAGTTTTGTGCGACTGTATATTTTGCATGTATAAATGTGACAAATTGCATAGCGAGATTGTTATCAGAAAGTGGTGTAAGCAG